AAAAATATATAATTATTAATTTTTGTTTGCCCTTTATAGCAGTTTTTCTCAGTTCTGGGGCTTGACTATGGGGCCTTTAGAATATTAGGCAAACACTCTAGTGCCAAGCTGCATTCCAGCCCTGCTTCTACTGTTTTTAATATCTAGCATTTTTATACTATTAAATTTGTCAGTTTTCTTTGTGATTTTTTTCATGGTTTCCTTTTCTATTTTTCTCTTCTTTCTTTTCTTTTGATTCAGGATTCCCTCTAGCTCCAGCTGACCTAGAACCAACTATATAGACCAGGCTGGTCTGAACCTCAGAGATCCATCTGCCTCTACATAGTGAGTTCCATGCCAGCTCTGGGTATAGGGAGACCTTGTCTTAACAAACCCCCACTCCTCCCCACAAAAAACAGACTAAACCAAAATAAAACATTTTGATTGTTTCTCTGGATTTAAAATTTCAAAATTAAAAAAAAATTGAGATAAGGTGTTTTTCCATAGCTCAGGTTAGTCTCAAACTCATCACTCTCTTTTCTCAGACTCTCCAAGTGTGCACCACTATTTTTGTCTTATTGAGACAGGGAGGGCCTCAGTCTGTAGTAGTACAGACTGGCCTTTAACTTGCTATATAGCTCAGACTGGTCTCTAACTTGCTATGTAACCCAGGCTGGCCTCATATGATGATCCCCCTACCTGTCTCCCAAGTGTTGGATCCTTTTTCTTTTTTAAAAAATATTTTATTTATTATTTTTATTTTACGTGTATGAGTGTATTGCCTGTATGTGTGTAAGTGCACCTGTGTCATGCAATGCCTGTAGAGGTCAGAAGAGGGCATAGGATCCCTTGGAACTGTAGTCACAGACGGTTGTGAATAGTTATGTGGGTGCTGAAAACAGAATCTGAGTCTTCTGCAAGAGCATCCAGTGCTCTCAACCATTGAACAATCCCTCTGACCCTAGCCTGGGCTTCTTACTTTCATTTAAACATTATATTGGATGTCCCTCCCCACTCAGTGAAAGCTGTTCTGCTGTACCTGGTTGGTGACTGGTTTGTACTTGAGTCCTGGTTTGTTCAAGATGAGCTCCAGCTGTCTGCGGTTAAAATTGGACACTCCAAGGGATTTCACCAAGCCAGCATCTTTACAAGCTTCCATTGCCTGTAGGGGAAATGCCAACAGTCAGCAAAGAAGCTCCCAGGAAGCAAGAATGAGTGTGTATCCTGTGTGTGCCTCCCCTATCCCCTCAGATTAATACATGTGATTGAAAAAAATTAAAAAATTAAACAATACATATTTAAAGTATACATTTTGGTAAATTCTAATATATATGTGAAATTGTTAGCATGATCAAGTTGTGAATTCCTCCCAAGAAGCACCAATCAATGTTTAACTTCCAGATAACCAGGGCAGGAAAAAAACAAAACAAAAACAGTTTAAAGTGGTTTTCAGTTTCTGCGGTATAACTCACTAGGCTGCACTCAAGCAATACATGTCATCATTGACTATGGGGTTAGGAAGAGATATGCACCGTCAGGTCTTGCAAGCTGGTGTGATCCACTTTCAGCACACCATTGAAAAGTTAATCTTTCGCAGGCAGATCTCTGTGAGTTCGAGGCCAGCCTGGTCTCCATAGTGAATCCAGGCCAGCTGGGGCTACAGAGAGACCCTGTCTCAAAAAGTCCAAAAAAAGAGAGAGAAAAGATAATTTCTCCTTCACAGAATATGTGCTAGCCCTAGTGTTGAAACTGAAGGAGGAATAATTAGGTCCTGAATGTTCCTGGCATGGTTGCCTCCCCCTGGCTACTTTCCCAGACCTGGCATCTTGCATGACTACAGCCCACCCTACTACTGCTCTCCCCCATATGACACAACCTCAACCACCAGCCCCTTTCCCATCCCCAAAGGGAGAAAATACAAAAACCCTGAGCCCGTGAGGCAGCCTGCTTCTCTTCAGGATCCCGGTTCTGAGGGGTGCTTTTCTCCTTTGACCCCGGGCGGCAGGGAGGGAGGTGCCTCTCAGGCTTGTTCCCTAATTAGCCTGCCTGTTTTGTAGAGGTTGGTTTCTTTCTTTTTTCTTCCTCTGTATTTCCTTACAGAAATCATTTGGCACTATATGGGTCACTTCAGCAGTCCCTGCTCTGCTCCACTGAAACACATTAAGCTAATACGGCACAGTAATGATTATTGCAGTTGTGTAACAATGCTCAAAGTCCAGGGCTGGAGAAATGGCTGGGCAGTTAAGAGCACTGGTTGCTCTTGCAGAGGACCTGGGTTTGGTTCCTAGCATCCACATGGAAGCTAACAACCACCTATAACTCCAGTTCTAGGGAATCTGATGCCCTCTTCTGACCTCCGTGGGCATTGCATGACACAGGTGCACATACATACATGTAGAGAATACACTCAGATACATAAAAATAAAATTAATAAATGAAAAAATAATAAAAAGTAGTGTAAGTCCTCTAAATTTTTTAAATTAATATTTTAAACTTTCTCTTTGAAAATGTCATACATGTATACAATGTGCCATATTCATATCTACCCCTACTCTTTTATTCCAAGTTGTTTCTGAAATGATAGGTTACTTATGTTTACAACTTATGTTATAAATTTTAGTATTGTTTTAACTTCTATGAGTATTTGGACTAGGAGTATATTGACTCTTTAGCTGAGTCTGGGGAGAATTAACATCATAACCATATTGAATATTAAGAGACATGGTCTATTTCTCCATTTATTTATATCTTTGACTTTGTTTAGTAATACATTGTATTTTTTACTGTTCAATGCTTATACATATTTTATCATCTAAATTCCTAAATATTTAATGTTGCTCTTTAAAAAATTCAATTTCTAATTGTGGATTTCATATAGTAGATTTTATTTTCTTCTTGTCTTATGAATTATTTATACATGTTTCTCTGTTTCTAAATAGTTGGTGTTCGCTCAGATATCTTTTTGTTCTTGATTTCAAATTTAATTCCAACTTAACAAGACCACACACTCTGTATAACTCAAATATTTTAAAACTTATTGAGACACATTTTATCAGTGAGAAAGTTGGTGATTTTGTTTACGTGTTTCCAGGGCACTTGAAAAATGCCATCCTGCAGTATCTTGGTGGAATGTTCTGTGAGTGTCAATTAGATCAAAATCTTGATAATGCGTAACTCTCATCTATCATATAGATTTACTGTATAGTTCTTTCAATTTTATTTACTTATTTATTTTTTTGTTTATTTATTTTGAGGCAGGATCTTCCTACAGCCCCAGCTGGCCTGGAAATCACTATATAGACCAGACTAACCTTGATCCCACAGAGATCCACCTGCCTCTGCCTCCCAAGTCCTGGGATTAAAGGCACGAGTCATCATGCCTGCCTCTTATTTTTATTTATCTTTTACTTCTAAAATTTTAATTGAATTTTTGTGATTTTCATACAATAGAATTTGATGGTATTTAGATCTTCTCCCCTATCTGCACCTCCCCAAGTGCCTCCTGGCCAGTTTAATGTACTCTATTATATGTAATAGGGCCTATAGAGTCTAATTTGTGTCTGCAAACGTCCTTAAGTATGGGTCCACTCACTGGATCTTGCTTAACTTGCCAAGAGTCCCATCCTTGAAAGACACTGTCTCTCCCCCTCCCAGCATCCATCAGTTGCCAAAAGTTCCTTAGTTTAGGTTGGGATTTCTTACTCATGTCCTTGCATTATGCTGGGATTTTGTTTGGTTTCAGCTTCCATGGGACTTATGCATGCTGTCACCATTGCTGTGAGTTTATATGAGTAACTAAACAGCTGTCTGGAAAACTCTGTTTCCTTGTGGTCAGCACCTCCTCTGGCTCTTACAATGTTTCTGCTCCCTTCTTCCACGATGATCCCTGATCCTTGGGAAGAAGTTTGATATAGGTGTTCTATTCAGGGATAAGCACTCTGTAATCTCTTGTTCTCTTATTTTTATTTTTTAAAAAGTTTTTTTAATGTATGAGTGTTTTGCTTGCATGTATGTGTGTACACCATGTACCTGGTGCTGTTGGAAGCCAGAAGAGGATGTCAGAGTCACTGTAACTAGAGTTATAGATGGGAAATGAGCTACAATGTGGGTGCTGGGAACTGAACCTAGGTCCTCTACAAGAATAGCAAGTATCTTAACCTCTGAGTCATCTCTCCAGTCCCAATTATTGTCTCATTTATTAAGAGACACTTTGAAATATGTGATTATAAATGTAGATTATTCTCTTCAAGTTTATGTTTCATGCATTTTGAAGCTCTGCTCTTGAGTATGTAGTATTTAGAACTGGCCCCTTTATTGTTATAAAGTGAGTTTCTCTACCCCTTGGTAGAAACTTTTGCTTTGAAATCTTTCTAGAAGTTAAAATATCCAGTCCAGATTTCTATGAGTTAAGTGCTAGACTGGTATATATTTTTCTACTTTTTAAGTTTAATTAAAAAAATTGTTTATTTTATGTGTATGATTGTTTCACTTTCATATATGTACGTGCACCCACATCATGCAATGCCTGTGGAGACTACAAGAGGGTATTGGATCCCCTGAAACTAGAGTTAGGAATGGTTGTTACCTGCCATGTGAGGGCTGAGAACCACGCTGGGGTCCTCTGCAAGAGCAGCCAGTGCTCTTAACTGCTGAGCTGTCTCTCTAGATCCTTTTGATTTTTTTCTAATAACCTATGTGTGTCTTTTTATTTAAAATTGGGTTTCTTGTATATACTACATAGTGGGAATTTTTGTGAGTGAGAGATGTTTTTATTTTGAGATGTGTTGTTTTTTAAATTTATTTTTAAATTTTCATTTGGGATCATTGAGGTGCTCAAACTGTACATATTTTGTGATTATGTATATTGCTAAGTTTAAGCCTCCCAGGCAGTTGTTCACGTCTTTCCCACCTGCCCGTTTCCCCTCTTTTCTGTCTTCTCTTAGAGCAATTACTTCCTATTATTCCGTTTCCTTTTCCACCCTTCTTTGGGAGAAATACTTTACTCACAAGTATTTCTTCTTAATATTCTGAGATTTCACTCTAATCATTGTGGTAAATGTAAAAGAAATGCACTGTCTTTTCTATGAAAAGGTTAAATAAGAAAAGGGTGACATTGTTCTTAAAGAAAACTGTAAAACACACCATTTGACAAAAATCCTTCCTGAGTCAGGATTTTTCTGCTCAAGGTTGCATTCTGCTTATCAATTGCACTATTTTAAGTTCACCAATCACATATGACTGTGAGGCTGAGCTCTGACCCCTTTGAGCTTTAAGTTAACCTATCACATATGACTGTGAGGTTGAGCTCTGAGTACAGGGCCCCTTTGCTTTAGAAATAAAAACCCCGTGGAACCCCCTGCTGGATGTGCTTGTTGGATTTAGCACCTACACAGCCTTCTGCAGAAGTACAACTTTTTGTCTTGCCAAATCCTTTGGACTGTGTGGTCATTTTCTTCAGATCCCAGAGCCATTCCCAGTACCGAGTAGGTGCGGGTTCCCTTAGCGTTTCCTCCTTGCACTCTGTGCCTCATGCCCTCAGAATGTTTCCTTCTTCACAGGTGCCCCTCACTTCCTCCTTAGACTCCTATGTGTGGATGCTGGAAATTCTAATTTTATCCTTCTCATTGCCTAGCTTTTCTTTCATGTTGAAATAAAAATTTTCCTTCTTCATCCTGGGAGATTTCTTCATTCTGATCCTTAAACTTAATTATTAGTTTTCCAATCCATATCCATTTCTAATATTTATTCCCATGTCTACTATTGTGCTTTTTAAATTTTTTACTTGCTAGTGCTTTTGTTTTGTTTTTGTTTTGTTTTGGGTGGGGGGCAGACAGGGGCTCACTATGTAGCCCTGGCTGATCTGGAACTTGCTATGTCGACCAGACTTGCCTAGAATGCCCAGAGATCTGTCTACCTCTGCCTCTCCAACTGCTAGGATGGAAACTGTGTGCCCCCACGCCCTGCCTTGCTTGTGTTTTCTTTTTTCAAATGTTTTCTTGCTCTTCGTTCATACAGCTAATATCTTTCTTATGTCTTTCAGTATATGGGTTCTTGGTTCCCTTCTGTTTATGTTGGGGTCTCTAACAGCAATGTTTTCTTCTGAGACAAACGCTTTATTACTTTGGTTAATGAACACTCATTTTCTTTTGGGCACTTTCCCCAGAAGTCCCTTAGAAGAGAACAGCAGACCCTCAAACTCATGACAACAACGACATCAGGAGTAAGTTTATGGCCTCTTGGATGGAAAGCCCAAGGTACCAGAAAACCTAGTCAGTGTCTTTTTAACCCTCCAAAAGCTCTGTGCTTTGGATCTTGGGCTGTTACCTCTAGGAGCGAACCTTGCTCACTCAGAGTGTAGGTTCCCAGTCTCTGCTGTTGGCAGTGGGGTGGGGCTCGGGGTAAACTGTCAGAGAGCAGTTAGCCACACAGTTTTTTTTTTTTTTTCCAGCCTCTTGAAAGTTCATAATTTCAGTGCTGCTTTAATTTGATTTCTGAAAGCCATTATAAACCAGCTCTAAGTTCCTGCACATGGAGGAACAGGGAATATTTGTTCCAGCTATGGCAGGGAAGAAGAACTTGAAGCAAGAATTGCTGGAGTTTCCCTTGTTGCTTGTCAGTTGTTTCTCGGAGTGAGCTCCTAAGTTTTCTAATTTTCCTGTACTTTCCTACTCTTGTGATCATGGGAAGGAACCAGCAGCTGGTCCAGAAACAGAACTAGCTTAGTTTCTCATGAGTTACTTTGAGTCATTTCTTTCAGAGACCACATTCCTAATATCTTTAGTAATTTAAAAAAATGTATGCGTATGAGTGTTTTCTCTGCACATTCATGCAACGCCTGGGGAGGCCAGAAGAGGGTGTCAGATCCCCTGGAACTGGAGTTACAGTGGTTGTTAGCCACCATGTGAGTGCTGGCAGCCTGTGCTCATAACCACTGAGCCATCTCTCCAGCCCCATATTATTGCTTTTTAAAATTTAATTTTTAATTAGTGAATTATCTCATTTATATATTTTATAGTACTATTTTATTAGACCATATTGTCTTCATTTCTTTTTCTTTTCACACTTTTCTCTTCCCATTCCTTGGAATTGTTCTCTTCAATAAGAAAAATTAAGAATTATTTAGCACCTAGGGCCACTGAGATGGCTCATGCCAAATCCTGCTGGACCTGAGTTCAATCCCCAGGACCCATGTGTTGGAAGGAGAAAACCCACTTCTCTAGGTTATTCTCTGACCTCCACATGCACAGCATGGCACACACACACACACACACACACACACACACACACACACACGCACCCACATATATATATACACACGCACACTAAAATGTGACTTTTTTTTTTTTTTGGTCTTTTTGAGACAGGATCTCCCTGTAGCCTGAGCTGGCCTGAAACTCACTACGTAGACCAGGCTGGCCTTGAACTCACAGAGAGCCTCCTGTCTCTGCCTCCTGAGTGCTGGGATTAAAGATGTGTGACACCATAGCCAGCTTAAAATGTGACATTAAAAAAAAAAAGAATTATTGAGCACCTACAAGTGGAGTTTTTATATATCTGTGTTTGTGGCTAGAAACACTCTGTTACTTGTCATTAATAGCAATGGCTTTAGAGTTCCATAAGCCTGAAGGAGGTCATACTTTGAAAAGGCAGACTTTGAAAGTAGTGGTGCAAATGAACTCACCTCCCAAGTGGCAGGCAGGTCTGATTTGTCATATAGCCATTTGCCATTTTCATCTTTAGGATAAAATTCCTCTCCAGGCTGTAAAAAAACAAAATGCAATGCATTTACTTATATCTGAGGATTAAAATTAGATAATTTCAGTCATCCATACCAGTTATAACTTGGCCCTGCAGTTCAAGTTTACCAATTTATATAATTTCCTAATAAATATTATGTATGTGTACATATATTGTTATATAGTACAAAATATACATGTATATTTACAAAAAATTATGTTACATATGATATAATCTCTTATTAATAATATATACTTGTATAATTATGTAGCATAACATTTTATACTTCATGCTGTAGTCGATCCTCTTTTGTGGCATATCCAGGCATTCTTTGATTTGTCCAGTGCACAGGCACATCACTTCCATGATCTTGCCTAGTATTCATTTTGCACTGGATGAATTTTCCTTTCTTTAATGATAGGTAAGTGATTTTTTAAAAAAAGATTTTAAAAAATTTTATGTGTATGAGTGCTTTGCCTGCATGTATGTAAGTGCACTTGTGTCATGCAGTGCCCACAGAGTCTAGAAGAGGGTGTTGGATCCCCTGGAACTGGAGTTATGGACAGTTGTTAGCTGCCATGTGGGTGCTGGGAACCAAACCTGGATCCTTTGCAAGAGCCGCCAGTGCTCTTAACCACTGAGCCGTCTCTCCAACCCCCTAGGTGAGTGTTCTTAATCTATGTAGTATGCTTTTAAGAAAAGAGTGGTACTTGAGAATGAGGGTTTCCAGTCTCAGAATTCTGACACTCTACCCTCGCCCAAGTCCAAGGCAACAAATTTCTTACTCCCATAAGGAACTAAAACTTTGACAAAGAGTGAGGAGAAATTCGTCAACTAAGAGAGGTGCAGCTGGTGCCTGGATGCTCCCTGTGTTCGAAGAAGTTGTATAACGTGAGACTCCCCAGTCCTGACCAACTTTCCAGTGGCTCTTATTTAAACAAATTTTAATTACTTTAAAATTCTCATTCTCTCTCTCATTCTTTGTCTCTCTGTCTCTCTGTCTCTCTGTCTCTCTCTCTCTCTCTCTCTCTCTCTCTCTCTCTCTCTCTCTCTCTCTCTCTCTCTCTCTCTCTCTCTCTCTCTCTCTCTCTCTCTCTCTCTCTCTCTCTCTCTCTGTGTGTGTACACATGTCATGATGTCTCTGTAAGTGGGAGTTGGTTCTCTCCCTCCACCATATGGGTTCTGGGGATCAAACTCAGGTCGTTTGGTTTGACGGCAGATGCCTTTACCCTCTGAGCCATCTTATCGGACCCCAGTGGTTCTTTCCTTTCCCCTTCTGGCCCTCCAAGAGTTCAGCACCTTCTTTTCTACCCCACACTCAATCTGAAGCACAATCCCTTTCTTTAGCTTTTGAATAACATCTCTCAAAAAATAAGGCAGAGAGTAACTGAGCAGGACATCTGACATCCTCTTCTGCATGTACATGCACAGGTCCTTGCACCCTCATACATGTGTGCATATACCACACACACACACACACACACACACACACACACACACAATACACACAATACACATAGGTACATATACGATAGAAAATAATTTGAAAAGAATGACTTTCAATGAGATTTTTAGGGAGGCCCTCCATAGTGAGATGGCTATTGGGCTAGATCTGGAAAGCTGAAAGGAAGGGAAGGGAAGGAAGGAAGGAAGGAAGGAACGAAGGAAGGAAGGAAGGAAGAAAGAAAGGAAGGAAGGAAGGAAGGAAGGAGGGAGGGAGGGAAGGAAGGAAGGAAGGGAAGGGAAGGGATGGAGGGAGGGAGGGACAAAGGAAGGAAGGAAGGAAGGAGGAAGGAAGGGAAGAAGAAAAAAGACCATTTCTGCTATTTGGTGGAGGATGCATTCTGGGCATTTTGGGGTATATTATGGGTTGAATTGTGTCTCTCCTCACCAAAGATGTTGAAAATGTAACTTTTTTTACCTGTGAATGTGCCCTTAAATAGAGTCTTTGTAGATGATTAAGTTAAAATGGGATCTTTGGAGTGGGTCTGATACATAAACAAATGATCCCTGTGTACTGAATTCTAGTTCTTTTTTCTTTTCTATAGGCTGACACTTGTTAGCTTAAAAGCCTGTCCAAACTCTAATTCTTATTTATCTCTTTGAAATCTCTATATGTCCCTAATATAATATGACTATATCCATACAGAAAAGGGGAAATTTGGACCCAGACACAAAAGTGCACATGAGAAACACTCTGAAAATAAAGGCAGTGTGGTTGCTGGAAAGACAAATGTCCCCTGCAGGTTCAAGTATTTGACCACTTAGTCTCATAGCTGGTGGCGCTGTTTAGGGAAGTTCCTGGAATCGCTTTAGGAGACGTGGCCTTACTGGAGGAAATGCATCACTGGGGGTGGACTCTCAGTGTTGTCCCACTTCCAGTCCTCTCTCTGCTTTATGTTTATGGTTGAAGATGTGAGTTCTCAGCTTCCTGCTCCAGCCACCATGCCTGCCACTTGCTGCCGTGCTTCCCCATCAGGATGGCCTCATCCCTCTAGAACCATAACCCCAAATATATTCTTCCTTCTATAAGTTGTCTTGGTCATGGTGTTTTATCACAGCAACAGTAACATAACTAATATAGGCAGAGATTGGGCTAATAGCTTCTACAAACCAAGAAACCCCAAAGATTGCCAGCAGATCACCAGAAGCCATGAGAGAAGTGATTCTCCTGCCCACAGAAGGACCAAACCTGCTAATAGCTTGATCTTGAGGCTTCTAACCTCTAGAAGTGTTAATAATAGGTTTGTGCTGTTTGAACCATCAAGTTGGACGCCTCCTTTTCCCAGAATAAAGGGAAACTGACACAGGGAATAAATGTGGGGGCAGGTAGGACTAACAAAGTTACTGTAACAGGAGGCATCAGTTACCTGCTCTGGTCTGAGTGTTTGTCCCAACCCTCTCCTTCCGATCACCTCCAGCCTTATTACCAAGATGATGGCATCACAAAGTGGGGCCTGATTGGGTCAGGAGGGCTCTACCCTTGTGGGCGGGATTAACGCCCTTATAAAAGAGGCTTCATGCTTTTCCATTTCCACTGCATGAGGACACAAAGATGTCCTCTGAGAAGACTGGGCCCCATCAGAGCTAGCATCTGCTACACTTGCATCTGGAGCTGCCTGGCTTCCAAAACTGTAAGCAAAATACATTTTGACTGTTTATGAGATGGTCTAACATATTTTGGGATAGTAGTCTACCTCGACTAACAGCCTGCTTATACCCTCTTGGATGCCCTTACTTTATTTTTCTTTACACTTAAAGCAGCTTTAATCACTACTGGAATCACAACAAGCAATTCCATTTCCCAAGTGCACAGTGGGAATTCAGCTCCCATTTGTCTCCCTGGGAAAGAAGAGTGTGTATCAAGAGGACACTGAAGGGTAGGGGATAGTGGTCAGGGAAGGACGCCCTGGACCAGTTCAGCTGAGTTCCAGTTACTTTCACTTTCATCTAAGATGGCCCATTTTGGGGTTCTTGTCCAAAGCTGACCTTTTCGATGGGCTCCTCTCACAGGTTGGCAGGGTCTCTCTAGCAGAAATTTCAAACTTTCTGTCCTTATTTTACCCAATCAGATTCCTGTTTTCATGTGAGTGAACCAACCAGCAGCATTCATTCTGCCCTGTCCAATCCAAAGGGGGAAAGAGGAGGCCAACTCTGTCTCATCCTCACCCTAGTGGAATATAAAAAGCCCAGGCTGTCCAAGCGGGTAGCCAGTTCTCCAACTCTGGACCTCCTCCCCTTGAGGGGATTCTCTTTGTGTGTTATGTTACTGTCGCTTTAATAAACTTAGGCTGTGTGGTATGACTACAAACTTCTTGTTTTGAAATTCTTTACCTGGCGAAGAAAAGGGCCTGAGAAAAGAACCCCCAGGTGACATAACACCATCTGTCTAGAGTCAAAACCCAGCTAGGCTAGATGAACCAGGGGTAGAACAGGCCATAATAATAAGTGCTAATCACATAACTGTGATAGTTAATCTTAAGCTGTGGGCCAGAGTCTGTGCTACGGGCTTTGTGTTTTTCAATGCTAGAAGCTTTTAATAGTATATCTTTTATTCATGAAGATTTTCAGGTCGTGTGGTTAATAAGTGATGAAAATAGAATTCAAACTCACAGCACCAATATTCTTTTTCCCTTTTTTTAAAAAAAAGAAATGGGCCAGGCGTGGTGGTGCATGCCTTTAATCCCAGCACTCAGGAGGCAGAGGCAGGCGGATCTCTGGGAGTTCAAGGCCAGCCTGGTCTACATAGTGAGTTCCAGGACAGCTGGGGCTACAGGGAGACCCTGTCTCACAAAGACCAAAAAAAAAAAAAGAAATGGATATCAACTCTTTCATGTGGAAAAATGAGAAAAAATTATTGGTAAAATCAGGAAATTCAGTATGTCCTCCATTTTAATTTAACTGACTTAACATCTTGGGAAGGACAGCTAGGAAATATTCTCTTCATTACATTTGTTTTGCATATGCTGTGCTTTCTTTTATTTTCAAAAAAATTTGTTTTTTAAAAAATTATGTGTGTGGGGGGTGCCCTCAGGCTAGGGGCATCAGATCCCCTGGAGCTGGAGTTGCAGGCAGTTGAAAGTCACCTGATGTGGGTGCTGGGAACCAAACTGAGGTCCTCTTCAAGGACAGCCATACTTAACTGTTGAGCCATCTCTCTAGCCTCTTGGACCTATTTTTAAAAAGACAAATCTGAGAGCTGGAGCACATTTATTTACTCACTTGGGACATGTCCAGGGATTCATACCCTTCTGACCAGCCCTTTAACCCACAGCTGCAGAGGTGTTTGCCTGTTTCATGATTAAGTGGTTCCTGGGATGTTGAGCCACAGCTGTTTTCTAAGACTTTGTTTACGATCACACACACACACACACACACACACACACACACCTGGTCTTGTTTAGTCCCCAGTTATAGTTCCTCATTCCCCCATCGGTTTTTCTTAATTTCCAGTTCATCACAAACCATTCATACATGTATTCCCTTCACTTCAGGGTCTACTTCTGAGAGGTCCAACCTAAGACGCTATTGAGATGGAAGGGAAGGCTGGTCCCCTGGACCAGGGCAATGGCAGGAGAGATGAAAAGATGAAAAGATATGAATGGATTGATGAAGAAGCAAGGAGTACAGCCTTTATACCTTAATGTTAGCTTGACGATTAAGGTGACAGTGAGGGATAGAGAAAAATCAAATATGATTCATAGGCTTTGTAGAAGGATGGTGCCAATTGTTCACTGTTGTTGGGATGTAGAAATCAAGAGAATTGTTTTGAATGCTTTTCTTTTGAAGTCCTGAGAGTGGAGCCCAGGATCTCACAATGCTATGCAAGTGCCCTACCACTGAGCTACATCCCCAGCCCATTTTGACTCTGAAATGACTAATAGATAGACATTCAAAAGGACATTTGACAAGAGAGTTGCACAGAGAAATCTGGGACTCAGAAAGAGGTCCTGACTACAGACGACATTTGGGAATCATTAGCTTGTAAAAAGATATTAAATCTGCATGATTGGGTGAAGTCATCTATAGAGAGGGTGTGGCTTACTAAGACACATCTATTGAAAGTAGACTATTGGTTGGTCAAGTAGTAGACTACTAGTTGATCAAGAAGTTTCCCAGAAATCAGGAGAGGGTTGGCTACAGCAGCCAAAAGAGAAACTATTTAAAGGTGATGCTGAAAGAGATTAAAGACAGGACAAAGTATGTGTTGGATTTGTAGTATGAAAGTCTTGGTTGACTTTGGCAATAGGAATTTCTTGTTGGGGACTGTTCTAGTTTGCCTTCAATTGCCATGACAAAACACTATGACCAATGCCAACTTGGGGAAGAAAGGGTTTATTTGGCTTATACCTAATGGGTCATGGTTTACCACTGAGCGAGCCTGAGGTTGGAACTCAGGGCAGGAACCTGGAGGCAGGAGCTGGAGCACAGGCCATGGAAGAGCACTGCTTACTGGTTTGCTCCCCTGGCCCATACTCAGCCTGCTTCCTTATACAATACAGAACAATCTGCCCAGGGGTGGTGCCGCCCACAGTGGGCTGGGGCTTCCCACATCACTCAATAATAAAGAAAATGCCTCACAGACATGGCCACAGGCCAGTCCAATGGAGGAAATACCTCAGTTGAGGCTTCTTCAAGTTGTGTCAAGTTGACCACTAAAGCTATCCCTACAGGGATCCCTAATGCAGTTGTGTTGGGAAGTGGAGACCATGGGCAGTGTTTAGTGTATTGACTAATGACATTATAAAAGGCCCACAGGACTGGGTTTGTGCCCCTGTACTCTGCTTTTCCACCTGGACAACGACTCAGCACCATGACCTTGGATTGCCCAAGACCCATAACCATGAGCCAATAAACTTCTGTCCACTACAGATGACTCAATTTCAGATATTATAATATGACTGCACAAAACAGATGGAGAAGGGAATGAAGCAATTGCATAACACCTGTTCTGTTCTTAAATTTATCCCTAAATTTTTCCTTCTAACATCTCACCTTTATAAAGTAGGATGCCTTTAGTAGTAACACGTTCCCCATTGTTGTGCCTTGAGACCCAGGAAATGGGTCAAGTAAGGCTGGAGTTTTAGGAAATTATTATGAGAACAGTAGGTTTGTTGACCATATTTACAACCTCCTGTTAGATCCTATAAGAAATATAAATGTATTTATTTGCTGTTGGCCTTTTAAGATGATAGACCAAAATGATGTTTACTACAGTAGGTTCTTTCTGTTTCTGGGTGCAATCCAAGATGGCAGAGGGTATCTCAAGGGTACAGGACAAATCATGGAATGACTATGGCTGACCCAGCTCTCCTCTCTTTCTATCTGTAGTTCTCAAGAAAAATTCTAGAATGTAATGAGACAGCAATACCCTTAGCTCAGGAGGAGCTGTGTGGACAACCTGGGCCATGATCCTGTCCTTTTTAGAACAGGGTGTCCTATAGGACTCTAGCCTTGTGGCACCAGCCCCTCATGAATACTACTTTTCCATTGCCCCTTGATGGCTATCCATGAGCCATAAAGTTGCTTCCCTTAGTACAAATGTTCTTTCTCTCTAGACTTGTACAAATGATATATCTCAAGGTGCACTGGATGTCACCCTATTTCAGTGAGTAGCCAGCATGTCATGAACTTGCCTGGCAGTTGGTTCTAAGAAAATAATAGTTCTCTGAAAGCAAGATCTTTGGCCAAGTTGCCCTGCCCAGCAAAGTTATGTCATCTTGTGAGATGCTAACTGGGCCCAGGGAACACATTATCTGTGCCTCTCTGTTTTGTGTTATTTTGAACCAGAGGTCAAAGTGGAGGCCTTTAAGCTGAAGGCCAAGCAGATGAGCCAAGCAAGGAGGTTGTTGTACTATGAAGCAGAAACACACAGGCAAGGATTAGATACAAGAAAGGTGACCCTGTGAGATTTCTAACTTTAATTACTCACTCATGTAATTGACTGAATGTGAATTTCCTAAAAGCCTATTAAACTTTTAAGCCATAGTGTTTTTTCCATCACACCCCTACCAGATTAAATCCTATGATTATAAATGCTACTGCAGAGGCAACAATGGACCTCCAAGAAGTAGAATGCAGAAGGGATTTGAACTTCCTTGAAGTCCTGGACTGTGAGTGTGGTTTCAACAGTGAAGTGGTCTCAGAAAGCAGAACCCAGGACAGCAGGATTTGTTACCTGCGACTTTGGCCAACGCTCTGCAGTCTGTTCTTTCTGAGCTGTCTAGTCTTATTTACCTAGCAGACAAGTAGTCAGTTTTATTTCTTAATTTCTCTTTCCTTCAGTTAAATATTTAAGCATTTGTTACTCTGCAATTGTGTATATCAGGTGTGTTCAATGAACAGTTGTGTCCATAGATTGAGAAAGTTCAAGGAAAGACTTCACTTGAACTAGAGGAGTAAATAATATCTAGATAAATCTGCCTTGTTGGTGCCAAAAATATGACCATTCTTTTGTTTACCTTCTGTTCAAGGTGATTGAAAGAGAGAGTGTTTTAGTTGTATATGTTATTTTGTACTAAGATATGTGAAGACATTTTTGCAGATGTGTGAGTAGGAAAATTGATATGTCTAGATGCTGGGCAACTAAAATGTGGACCTCAGTGTTAGTTTGATGGAAAGATACTATGGTTGTTAAAACATGTATACTAGAAACTCAGGGGGCTGGAGAGATGGCTCTCTGACCTCTGCGGCATTGCATAACACAGGTGCACTTCCATACATACAGGCAATACACACATACACATAAAATAAAAATAATAAATATTTTTAAAAGGAAACTGCAGAGAATCAGGAAATGTGGGCCCCCATCTGATAGCATTATTTGTTGGGGTGCTCGTCAGGCAAGACTATGAGTCTCTATCTATGGTAGCAAACATGGTGACATTCTGTGCCACTAGGAATGAGCAAGCTTCATGTGTTTAGTAGTTGGCTCTGGTCAGTGGGACATAGAGACCTAAATTGTAGGCACTTGAACTTACCTTAAAGGTCATGGGCATTTCAATGATGTAAAGATCTATGTAATCTAGCTTGAGAGTCTTCAAGGTTTTCTCTAGGGCGGGCCGGACCATCTCTGGGTCATGCTTTGTAGACCACAGCTGAAAAAGAATCAGGAGGGATAGTGAACTAATGTCCTTTTACTTTTACATTCTTGTGGCAATTTATTCTTTGAAAAGCCCTTGCACATATGCCATCGACTCCTTTCACATCACAAAAGCATGCCTATACCTTAACATGGGATCTGAGCATAGAAGGAGATGATAAAACTCTTTTGACACCAGAATGTCATTATCTGAACATAGTGAAAGGAATGTGAAGATCTGCCTGTGTTGATAGGGAGCCTCATTTGATGGTCAACTCCCCCATCCTGGCTAACTTCCAGAACAAAGAAAAAGGAATGCTGTGTGGTCTGTGCCTCAGTACATGCACACAGTTCTGCCTGTCATGCATGACCTTGTAGCACAGAGCACCTAGTCAGTGTATGTATGTTACCATGTATGGGAGATGAAAAGACTGAACTGTAAAGGGAAACAAACGGAAGGTATAAAAGGCTGGGTCTTTCTTCGAGGCTCTGCTTTTGAGAACTATCTCACAGAACCTGTGTTGGTATAAACTGGTTCCTGTATAAGAAAGCCTTGGGTCCCATTTTTCTATGCAGAATGCCTGCTACAAGAGACCTTCAGTATTTTGACTTTTCTACATTGTGTGACTAGAGAACACATAGTTAGCTAGATACTCTGATGGCCTAGGGTTTAACTTTCATGGCACATTGATCAAGATGTGTGCTTCAAAGAAATAAAAATGCTCTGTGCACAGAGACAGTAGATTTCTTATGCTAAGGGGTGCAGAAACCCTGTTTTATAAATGCTAACTCAAGAAATTTGTGGACTGCTTGATTTTATTACTCCCATTTAACAGAGAGAAAGAGAGACCAAAGTTCAGAAATTCTAAAGAGCTCCCAGCTCTTGGTGGTGATGGATCTGGGCCATGCACCCAGTAGTTGTTTATAGTATTTTGCATTCTGTTGTGTGGGGCATGTTTTCTGATCTGGGCAGTCTAGGAGCAAAGTCTGTGTGCTCACTTTTTACCTGCATACTGCCCTTGGGTGTTGGTTGAGCTGCAATGAAAATAGATCTTAACAGGCCATAGCAACTGACCCTTCCATGAGCTCAACTGCATACAGCCTTTCTGTTTACTTGTGGTCCTTTTTACTTATGTGTATCTTACTACATTTAACTGATGTTGCACATGTACACACAGGTGCATTGTTTTCAGCAGTTTAAAAGATTAAATTTGACCACTTCATTCTCTTCTTCCTCCTCCTCCTCCTCCTCCTCCTCCTCCTCCTCCTTCTTTATTTATTTTGTTGCAGTGTTGGAGATTAAATCCAGGGCCTTGTGCATGCTAGGCAAGGGCTGTCCCACTGAGCTACACCACAAGCCCTGTTCATGTTAACTTGAGCATCTACATAGTGAGAAATGACTCACCTTTCCACAGTAGAAAATCTCTTCCCTCTTCACCTTCCCTTCTGCCAACTTCTCTCTGATGGCCTCACCAACTTCATGCTCATTGTGGTAGAGAGAGGCCCCATCAATGTGTCGGTACCCCGCATCGATGGCTGCCTTCACCGATGTATAGGTTTGCCTAGGGATCTGATGTGATGAGGAGGATGAGTTTGGAGTGAAGTGGGTCTTTAGCCAGCATTATGAAAGACATCTTGCAGTACATTTTTTACTAGCTACTATGATAGTTCCTGATTCCATGCTCTTATGACTGAAGGACCATGGAGAAAAAAGAAACTGATCTCCTAGTGGGATCCCTCCTTCAGCACTCCATCCATCCATCCATCCGTCCACCCACGCACCCACCTATCTATCCATCTATCCATCCATCCATCCATCCATCCATCCATCCATCCGAGGTTGCCCTTGCTTTATAGTTTTAGCGATGTGATTTGATCGATCTTACCACAGCAGGGTTCAGAGTATAAGGACTGGACTTAAAACTATGTGGGTCCACATCCCAGCTCTGGGCCTCTGCGTCTAACCTTGGGGCAGTGCTTTAAATCTCTATGTTCTGTTTTCTTATTTGTCAGTGGGCTTAACTGGTATTGACTTTTTAATGTGAGGATTAAGCTATAAACTGCATGTAGTGCAAACTTCCCAGCACACCGTTAAGGGCTCAGAACATTTTCAGCTATTATTCTTCCATCCATTTATAGCTCCATATTCTCTGATACACACACATTCCGCCCCCTGCCCAGTTTCTCACAAACTCATCCATTAGTCGGATAAGTATTAGTTGAACATGCATCACATGCTGGATCCTGTCATGAAACTCTAGAGCGGAACAAGTGAAGGTCTCTTTCTAATGGATGTCTCAGGTCAGTGATGAAGATTGCACAGCATCAGTGGTTACAACAGAATATGATAAGTACCATGGAGTCCAGAATGAGGGCTGTGTGAACAAGTGGAGGGCGGGATGTAGTGAGAGGGATCTGGGTCTCTAAGAAGTATTCTTTGAGCTGAGCTTAACAAAGTTTAGTAGAGAGGACTTGGAAACGACTTTTTAGTAAACTGCCTGGCTAACTAGTACTCAGTTTGTAGAGTGCATCCATGTATAATCACTCAAGTTTCAGTACCATTTCTAATACACCTAGTGTGGTTTAGAATCTTAAATGCCACCCAAAGGCTAAAGTTTGGTCACTAAACTGAAGTGCTATTGGGAAGTAGTGAAACTTCTAACAGATAAGACCTAGAACTCAAGTGATTGGGCCATAGAGCTGACCATGTCATTTGTCTGACACTTGCTTTGTCTCTGCCTCCTGGTCACTATGAAGTAAGTAGTTTCATCTACTGCATGGTCTCTGCCTTGAAATTCTGCATCACCATGGGATCAAAGCAATGAGGGCAAATAACCATGGGTCCAACCTTATGAAACAGTCAACCAAAAGAAATCACTCCTCCTTCTAAGCTGATCAGCATGAGTATTTTGTAACAGTGACAGAAAGCTAATCGACATGACATAGCACAATTCATTCTAATAACTGTTATGAAATGTTGGACTGCAATGAGGCAAGACTTGCTCTTCCAAGCAGAAATTTTACTCTGCTATAAAAGTGGTCCATTTTGATGTTTCAGACTGATTTTGATTCTTCTCCCTTCTGTGTTTTCAGATGCTGGGCACAGCTCTGGGCTAGCAGAAACTCCACTTCTCCTTTCCACAATGCTGGAGAGTCCGTATTTTCTATTAGAGCCCAAATGCCAAGGTGGTTAAGACAATCCTTTTCATACTGGATGCTTCTCTAGACTTGTGCTTACAGGTGTGTCTAGCCTGTAGCCTGTGGGCCACATGTGGTCCAGGATAGCAATGATCACACAGCACTACACAAATTGTAAACATAATTTAAACCTTGTGAAGTTTTTTTCCATGTTTTAAAAGGTAATTCTTTCTTTTTACACCCACTTCCCAGATAGCACCCTCCCATAGCCTCCCTCCCCTACTAGAGACCTTATATTCTGATATCCCTGCTACTGTCTGCTGTGTTGTCAGCACCCCCAGCCATTCCCCACTACTTGCCCTTCTGGTGAGTCTAGTCAGCCTATCTAGAGGTCTTTGTTTTAGGGGGGTCAGATATTCCTCATCTAGCAGCAATCAGTTGTCAATATTCCTTTGGATAAGATTGGGGTCTGCTGTTCATTTTCCCAGTTCTATGCTGGGTTACGGGAGTCCCTTGGGCCACCCTGGCCAGCAACTCAAAGGAAGGTATCTCCTGTCTGGCATTGTTTCTTGGTATGTAGCCTTAGCTATGCACATGGATTATTAAAGAATTATGTTGATCCCTTTAATTTTTGGTCATACGTACCTTTTGGGTGTTTAAGACCATACAGTTGGTCCAGATAAACTGATTTATTTTTACTCTTAAGGTCATTTGATGGACTTGAACCAGTGTCCAGTCTATAAAATGGAGGGTCAACACAGAGGAATCATTTCCTCCATGCTTCCAAGCGAAGCCAACCATGGTCGAGCAGGACCTTTGAGGTTTATTTATTTATTTTGACAATTTGATTGTTTGGTTACTGAGCATGACCCCTGTAAATCAGAATACTGTGCTGTGATGTGAGAAGGTTGGATGGGCTGTGTGTCAGGTGTTCATTGAATGCTTGTTAGACTGAATTAAAAATTCTTAAATAAAACTTAAAAATCCTCCATAAGCCATAAGCTCACAAATTTCATTGTGCCTCTGTTTACTTTAGTCATTATTAGCTTTCAGCTGAAAGGAAAAAAAAGTTTGATTCTAGAATTGAAGACTTTTTAACCATGAACTGATAAGAATTTAACCTTTGACTTAAAGTCTATTTAGGTAAACTGCAGTCACTGGAGCTCGCTTTCATTATTACAAAAAAGTAACTGAGATGTACTAAAAATGAGTGATGAATTATGCTTCAGGTAAGCATTTAAAACACACACAGACACACACAAACTGACACACACAGACACAGATGCAGATACAGACAGACACACATGCAGATACAGACAGATACACACACACATACACACACGGACACAGACACATAGACACAGACAGACAGACAGAAACACACACACACACACACACACACACACACACACACACACACACCACATGCGCACTTACCGGTTTAGGATCTGAGTAGGTACCAAGCCCAATGATCGGAATGCTGTTTCCATCACTTAGAGGTATCCAGTGGTTTGCAGCACTAAGGTTCATTTTAAAGAAGAGATCTGAGGCTTCAACTTGGGCACAATTCTGAACAGGACAGAAGCAGATTATTTGAAAAGATGTCTAGCACTAATTGGATCAAAGAACAGCACACTAGGAGGAGGAGCTGGGACCAAAGGGAGATCGATAGATCTATTTCTCAATCTTTTTATTTTTCAGATTTCCCTGGATATTTTAAGCAGAATTGTCCTTTGAACTTCACTAAGGGCATAAAGATGATGTAATCTGTGGATAGATTATGTCTAGTTTTCTGTAAATAAAAGTTTTTTTTTTTAATGGAAAGGAATCCTCCTGGCTTCTATCAGTTAGGAGGCTTTGTAGGCAAATACCAGGTACATCTTAAAAATGTTTAAACTATAAAGGAATTAGTTCATATGAAAGAAAGACAGAGGCTGAGAGAAACAGAGAGACTGGTTCGCTTTTATAAGTATATTAACTAAGTCCATCATGATGTCCCAACAGTCATGCCTCCATTTAACTTAATTACCTCCACAACACCATTTCCCAATACAACAGTCCACTATCTCTGAGAAACACCTTCCAGGATCCACACTAAACACTTGAAACTACAGATAATAGTGCCAAACCCTATATGTACTGTTTCCTATACATCCATACATACAATAAGCTTTTGCCTTTTCACATAAGGGAAGCATTATACAATTTCTCTTTGGCATATCTGAATTACCAGAATCACTGATCTTGTGCTTTGGAGTCATAATAAATTTAAAATAAAATTTACTTGATCACAAGCACATTGATATCACAACATTGTTACTAAGAAACTAATGGGCCAATGCTAGGCAGTTTTCCATTCCTAAAACAAATGCCTGAGATAAGTCAACTTTCAAGGAAGAAAGATTTATTTTGGTTTACAGTTTTAGGGGTTTTGACCCAAGGTCACTCATTCTGTTGCTTTGGGCCTGTGGTACCATCATGGTAGGAACATGCCATAGAGTCCAGTTTACCTTAATGTGGCCAAGAAGCAAAGAGGACGGGACTCTCTTCCACTAGACCCTACCTCTTAAAAGTTCCGTTACAGAATGTACACTCACATTCCAAAAGGGAGAAATTGGACACTAATAAGGAGGCAATAGGCCAAAGCAAGACTTAAACCCAACAGGGCAAATAGTCTTGTAGCTATTGCCTCGTCCCTAATGGAAATTTTAGTAATGAGACAATACAATAACTGAAATAAAAACCTTACTGTAGTAGAGAACGGATAAGCCTAACAAACCTGCTGGGCATCATCAAGTGCACCAACGTACACATAAGTTCCTTGAGAGAAGAGAGGAAGAAATGAAAGAAACACTGGGCAAATGCTTTGTCAGCTGGAGGAAAACCATGAGTCCACACATCAAGAGACTCAGTGAAGTCCAGAAGGACCAACATAAAGGAGTCCAGAAACATGACACAGACAAATTGCATAGTCCAGTGATCAACACAGAATACGGACAGCAGCAAGACGGATGTGACATCATTTACAAGAGATGCTCTGTAAGAGTAAGTCAACTTTTCTTAAGAAACTGTAGAGACAAGACAGTAATAAGGTAACAGAGAGCAGGAAGAAAAACTTATCCAATAAAAATTTTGATTTCTTTACTTTTATTTTTTGTGTATGAGTGCTTTGGCCTGTACATGTGTAAGTGCACCACGTATGAGCAATGCCAATGGAAGCCAGAAGAGGGTCAGATCCCCTGGAACTGGCGTCATAGACGGTTATTAACTGCCATGGGAATGTTGGAAACTGAACGGAGTCTTCTGGGTATCAGATACCCAGATAACATTGACCTCCAGCCTCCACATGCACACACAAGAAGATTCTAGGAAGGACTCCTTTACCTCTTCCCAGCTTCTGCATTTACCATCCATTCTCACAGTCTTTGGCTTACCTATCTTTATTCCAATGCCTGCTTCTGTGGGTATCCGACAATCCTCCCTAAGTTTCTGTTTTCCTGTAGTCTAAAGACATCAGTCATTGGGTTGAAGCCCACCCATGCATGTGTGTGCATGTGGATGCTGGAGGTCAGTGTTGAGGATCTTCCTCAGTCACTCTCCAGTGTTTCTCATTGAACTTGAAGTCCACTGATTAGACAAAATGGCTGGCCAGCAAGACCCAGGGATCCTCCTGACTCAGCTCCCTCACTGCTGGGATTATAGACATGCACTGCCATGCCCAGCTTTTTACTTAGGTGTTAAGGATTTGAACTCGGGCCCTCATGCTTTTGTAGCATGCACTTTACTTGACACAACCTAGAATCACCTGGAAAGAGAGTCTCAGTGAGGGACTGTTCACACTGGGTTGGTATGTGGGCTTACTTAGGTGTTAAGGATTTGAACTCGGGCCCTCATGCTTTTGTAGCATGCCCTTTACTTGACACAACCTAGAATCACCTGGAAAGAGTCTCAGTAAGGGACTGTTCACACTGGGTTGGTATGTGGGTGTGTCTGTGGGAGAATATCTTAATTCATGTGGGAAGATTCAGCCTACTGTGGGTGGCACCTTCCCTAGGGAGCTCTGAATTGTAAAAGAAGTAAGAAATTGAACTGAACACAAGCAAGCACCTGAGTGTGCATGTGCTCATTTCTCTGTTCTTGTCTGTGCATGTGATGGGACTGGCTGTTTTAAGTCCCTGCCTTGATTCTCCATGGTGGACTGCAACCAGAATTGTTAAACTCTTTCTCCCCTAAACTGCTTGCTGTCAGGATATTTTAGTTATAGAAATGAAAATAAAACTAGGACTGACTGAGCCGTCTTCCTAGCCATCTCCCTAGATTCTTCTGCTGATACTTTGGATTTGGAGTTTTGTCTCTAGAACTTTGAGAGACTGAAGTTCTTTTCTTTTAACATTAATTTCTTCTTAAATTTAAAAAGTTTTCTCTCTTTAAAGAGTTTTTGCAGTATTGGAGATCTAACCTAGAGCCTAGCTCGTGCTAGGCAAGTACTCTAAAATTTCTTTTATCTAGTGCCAAGTTGTGCTAATTTATGGTGGCAGCTTTGGCAAAGAATGCCAGGAGTAATGGCATCATCTCATCATCTCTAATTGACAGGAGGTCTCCTCAGGTCCAGAGAGTTACTTGCTGCATGCTGTTTGGCAGCTGGCAGAGCGGCTGCTTCTTTGCTGTGGAACTGGAGTCGTTCTCATAGAACTATGATGAGGCTGCTGAATCAATCCACAACCAATGTATTTTAAAGGGGTTGTAAAAATGACTCCTTGAAATAAGGCATAACTAACTGATGATCCATCGAGACCTCTGTAGATAATGTGCTCACAATGTGTACTGATGCATTTTGTTGGGTCATCTGACATAAAAGTGGCTAGACAGTATGCATATGCATAATCTAGGCAGGATGTATTTGCCAACTGCGACACAGGTAATTACCAAAAAAAAAAAAAAATCAGTATTTTTTTTATAAGACTAATCCTTTAGTGGCCTAGGTAAATTTTATAAGACTAGTCCTTTAGTGGCCTAGGTAACCAAACCTAGGTTTTAAAAGTACACTTAAACTAGGCGTGGTGGCTCAAGCCTTTAGTTCCAGCACACTGGAGGCAGAGGCAGACAGATCTCTGTGAAACTGAGGCCAGCCTGTACTACATAGCCAGCTGGAGCTACAAGGAGACACTGCCTCAAAAGATTAAAAAAAAAATTTTAAAAACCCCAGAAAACAACAAAAAGTGTGTTTAACAACCTAGCTTCAGGCTGAGAAGATGACTCAGTGGATAAAACTCTTGCTCAATAAATGAGACCAGAGTCCAGATCATCAGAGCCAACAGAAAGACTTGTGAGAATATTGGTTCACCTGTAATTCCAGTGTTCAGAAGGCAGCCACAAGGGCTCCCAAAACAAGCTGGCCTGTCAGACTAACTGAATCAGCAATTGATAAAATAGACAGCGTTCAAAGAAGATTCCCAACGTCAACCTCAGGCCTATGCACTCATGCACAGGCACATAAGTGTGTCCACATATGCAAACACATACACATGTGTGCACCCTCATCCCCCCAGTCCAGGTGGATCTTGTGGCATAATGTCCCTCTTAGTTAACCTGTAAGAAATAGCATGATTATCCATGTGGAAGCCATAGAAAATGGTTTGCTGGACTTCTGGTATAAAGAAGCCCAAAACCTGCACTGACTGACTGTGCCTTAAAGTGGACTGGCCTGTCACATAGGCATATTTCAGTGTGTGGCCAGCCTTACTTGCTCTAAGTTCAACTAAAATCAGGTGCAAATTATAGACCCAGTTATGATTTATCTATTAAACAGTACTGGCAAACTAAAAAGTATGTTACTATGAAACAATTCACAGACCTCTGGTTATGTAGCAATGTTTACTGTTTGTTAATAGAGGGTCAATGCCATTCCAGACCATTCTGGAGACAAGCATGAGGTCACTTCAGGCTATTGGGATTAACCCATGCTACACATAGAAACTAGTCAAAGGTAGATCCAGGTTACAGTCATTTTCTAACACAAGTTAAAAAAATCAAGAGGCTGATATTCTTGCTTGAGTAGAAAAGGAGAGTTTTTGGGATTCAAGATGCTACAGCTATGGAGAGTAAAATGCAAAGAAAGATAATGAATCTAGGATCTTTCACTGTTCTATAAACTATATTATAATTTATTCTAATTGAAATGAATATTCGTTAAGTAATTCAATAAGTCCTGAAGGGTAGGGTGGAATCCTTTTATTTTTAACTTGGAAATTCTAGCACTTAGAAAGCTGAGGTAGAAGGTTTGCCATAAATTCAAACCAAGCTTGGACAACATATCAGGTGCCAAGCCAGCCAGGGATTCATGACAAGGCCTGTCTCAGAAAGCAAAGCAAAACCAAACCAAACCAAACAGAAAGTCAACCAATTGGAATGCAAATGAACAAACAAATTTTAAAAATTAGTATTTTTTTAACATGAAAAGCACATGTCTTGATTCGTAGTTATATTAATCTATTTTACTTACACATAATGAGCCTGAGAAGACTTTCATTTTGATTTTTGAAACCTTCCTCTCTTTCTATCTCTCTATAGTCTTGTTTGACAAACAAGAGCATCTGCACACTAGTTAGATATTA